TGGGTCTCATGTCTCATACAGAACCTACGGGACATAGGAAATCATAAGTGTTCACGACAAAAGATCGCTGCTTGGTCATTTGCTAGTTATGTGACCTTGGCCTAGTTCTCACTGCATCCTGGAGCCTCAGGTTTCACCCATTTTTATACCCTTATAGTGGATATTATTGACTATTTCAAAAGGGCCACTGGGAAGATAAGGAAAAGCTTAGCACAGGGTAAACCCTCAACAAAATCGTGATTGTTGTCACTCCTAAAATTTCAGGGACAAGGACCTTCACGTCCTCAGACTATCCAGTTCAGTGTCTAGACTCTCACCTATTTAATGAATAGAGAAATCATTTTGTAATTTCGTGGAACAATTTCTCCCTAAAAGGTTACCCAAGGGAACAAGCACTCACACAATTAACCAACTAGATTTTGTTTTTCAGGCCGAAGCAATCGTGGGAGCATCGTTTCTGAGTCTGCTGAGTGAAGGCTGTCTGGGCAGTTCAAACTTACAGTTGTTTGTTCTGAAAACAAAAATAAAACTAAAATTTTTTTCTAGCAATAGGAAGAACTCTCAGAGCCATCCACTGAGGTCTTGCACTCATTTTGATCCCATAAAATACACTGAAAAGGAAAACTAAAATAAAACCGGTCAAATGTTCCACTGCTGTGATTCCCAAAGGTATTAAAGCATTGAGCGGGAGAAAAATTGTCATCTCACACTTCCAGCAGTCTTCACAGGAAGATAATTTGGAAGCAAGAATCACGGAGCTCCCGTGTCTCTTGATGTCCAGCTCCAGTGTAGTGTCCGGCACATAGTAGGTCCTAGTAAGTGAGTGCAAAAAGAAAAAAGCTTATCGCTATAATGGCAACTTGTAAGAAAACCAACATGCAGCTTGTCACTGTTTTAGCTCACTACATCTTCCTCTCCCCCAAAGCAGTCTACACCCCGGGCTGGGGCAGCCAGCACCACTTCCGCGGGTCCAACATGGAGACCTTGTAGAAGCCCCCCACTAAGGCTTCATGCCACAGCCATTCAGTAAGGCCTATCCTTGACACAGTGCTGTTTCTCATCCCAAGCACTGGGTGTGCAGAAATACAGTCTGGATAGTGCTGTCATGTAAAGAACGCAGACTAAACCAGAGGTTGCTGTTACCATCCCAAAACTTGGGTTTCTCTGATTGTTGATTATTTTTTCTGTATCATAAACATTGTGTGGTTATACTGTAAGACACAGAGACACGGCTTCAACTCCCCGCCAACCCGAATAAAAACAACTGGACAGGGAGATTCTCCAAAGAACACTGTCATTATCTCTACTGCAATGTGAGCACACATTTTGTAGCAAACTATAGGCGTCTTCAAAGAGGATGAGACATGAGGAGGTTTGAAAAGACAAAAACAGTGAGGCTTACACCAAATGTTTTTAAAAATACTTTCTAGGCTGTGGCACCTCCAGGGGGAGTACCACTGGTGTCTCCTGAGATCCGCGCCATATTGGAACTTAGGGCTCTGGGAAACCAAGCAAGCAGCTCGCCTCCCTGCTAAGCAGTAGTGAGCTTACTAGCACATTGGCTGAAAGTCAAACATCCACTTCCCCTGGCCCCCATTAGCAAATGGGAACCAGAGATCTGAGCCTCTCTTGGGAGGTTGACCATATGCAAAATAGCAAATAAGGAGGATTTCCTTCTAGCATCTCTTTGAAGGCAAATATTTTTACTACTGTTTTGCTTTATTCTGATATAATGGTACTGTTCTATTCAATATTCTGCTTTGATAACTTCTATAATGTTCTGTACTTCATTTTATTTTGCTATATGTGACTGAAAGAACAACTATTATAAAGATAACGAGATACACTGTGATACCTATTACTGTTATCCCGGTAACCTGCTGTGAAGTTCTGTACCAGTTTCACTGCACTGTCTCAATTGACTTTGTTCTCTCTTGTTCTGTTATATTTTACTACCTTCAAAATAAAATTTAAAAATAAAGATAATTTCTAGTCCCACTGATTCATAACAGGAATGGCATCAGTCTGGAACTGACCAGATAGTCCTGGGGGTGTCTTCGTGGAAGTACTTTCTGCATCCTTGTCTTTCTGGAAGACTCCTTTGTAATAATGACCATTAGCCAACTGTGAGGAGCCCTGTCTTCTAACCTACCTGATTTATTTACTTTTGGAGGGTAGAGTTTATACAAATGATGCATTCATTTGTATAAAACTTTCAGTTTTCCTTTATAAGCTCATTTTGTGAAGCATCTATTTTTTTGCCACTTATCCAATTACGAAAAGTCCTGCAGTAGAACCTCCTGTAATTTTGGCCCTACTGGTAGTTGGCGGTGCAAAGTCCTCATACTGTGGCTGGCACCATCTCTGAGGACTGAACATCTCCTGGTTCTTTCTCTCAAGTGGCAAATCAGTTCTTGGTTCTTAGAGATACCTGACTTGTAACCCGTTGACCCAACCCAGACAGGGGCATTTCTTGGCCTTTGGTATCAGTCAACACAGGGATTTTTAGAATTTGCTTTACTTGCCAATACAGTTTTCCAAATTCTAAACTGCTTCATTGAAGTATGGCTTACACAAAAAAGCTGTAACTACTTAATATATACAAGTCGACGCATTTGGAGAGATGTGCACACCATAAAACCATCTTCACAAACAGTACCAATGCCACATGCTTGTCTAAAACCCCCAGGAATTTCTTCCTGCCTCTTTCATGTTTTTTCTCCACTTTCTTTCTGTGGTTGGAGCATGAACAATATGTAAAAATTTAAGTACAGAGTGTGGTACTGTTCATTGCGGGCTCTCCATCGTACAGTAGATCTGCAGAACTCATTTGTTTTGAGTAACTGCAACTTTTCCAGCTTTAACAACACACCCCAGTCTCCCCTCTCCTCAGCTCCTGGAAGCTGCTATTCCAGTCTGTGATCTAGCAATTTGACTGTTTTAGACACTATGTGTAAGAGAGATCATGTGGTATTTGTCTTTCTGTCCTTGCTTCATTTCATCCAACATCCTGCTCCCCAGGCCCAGGCACCTTGTCCCAGTCAGCAGGCCATCCCTCTCTCTCTGCTGAATAAATTGGATTGAATTTATTTACCCATTCACCCATCGGTGGACATTTAAGCTGTTCTCAGGTCTTGGCTGTGGCGAGTCATGCTGCAGTGAACCCAAGGGCCATCTCTTCAAGACTCCGAGTTTTATTTCTCTACATCTGTACCAAGAAGCAGGATTGCTGGCTCTTAGGGTTCCACTTTCCAGTTTTTATTATAGTGGAATGCACACAACACAAGATTTATCATGTGAAGCATTCTGAGTGTACAGTTAAGTCACACTAAATATATGAACGCTATTGTGTAAATATCACCACCATTCATCTCCAAAGCTCTACATCTGGCAAAACTGGAACCGTATTCTCTAAATCATTTTCCTTCTCCTCCACTCCTGGAAACCATCACTCTGCTTCTGCCTCTTACATAGACAGAAGCATATGTATTTATCCTTTTGTGACCGGCTTGTTTCACTTAAAATAATGTCTTCATGAGTCATCTATGTTCTAGAACATGCTAGAACTTTCTTTCTGAGGACTCTCACTCTTGAATGGCAGCTGCCAGCTGGGTTTAAGCCTTTGCCTGAGAATGAACTCTCAAGTTCCTAACAAAATCTTTCTCTCCCACCTATGTGTACTGCCTGCTGCACTCTCTTAGAATTATGAATTTCTGCCTTTGCTGTATATAAATTCTGCTTGGAGTTTTTCTTGGAATCAATTTTCTAGGCAAGCTGTGTACATGATTGGGACTTGTTGTACCATGTGGAACTTCTCTGCAAACCCTGACCAGAAAGAGAGGTGTGAAGCACTGGCACCTCACTTGGACTCCCCACATACATCCTCAGAGATCCGCTCCCAGCCCCCACCATTCCCTGCTGCACCCAGGAAGCTCAGAACTCAGCAGTGAGTAATTCACCTCAGTGGCACTTAGGGACCCTCATGAGATCCTAGGAAGGAAAGTGCCAATCCTCCTTTATCAGATTTGGTCTTCTTCAGTGCCCAGGGCAGTACTCATGCATCTCATTCATAATTTTAACTATGCGCTCTCTTAAGCCAGCTTCTGTTTAATCCCCAACAAATAAGAAAAGCCCTCTAGCAAAAAATGTGTTAAGAACTTCTTTGGTCCCATAACCCTATGTTTAACATCCCTCTGTATCAGTGTTTTTTGGACAATTTAAAAACACTTCATCTTAGTAGATCTTTCAGAGAAACACAGAACTGCTCCCCACTCTTTGGAAGCATCATGCAGCCTGCTCCTCTAAACTAGTGAATCTTGTTTTTCAAGTTTTTATCATTATCAATCTATGTCAAGATACTGAGCCCTAGCCAGGCATCATGGCACATGCCTGTAACCCCAGCACTCGGGAGGCTGAGGCAAGAGGATCACTGTGAGTTTGAGTCCAGCCTGAACTATGTAGTGAGACTCTGTCTCAAAAAAAGAGAAAACACACACTGAGTCCTACAGTTCTCACCTGAGCTTGAGGTAGCAGCGAAATGTGGGAAACGTGCTCTTTCCCATCACTGCCTCTCCAAGGACACCTTCCCACCTCTAGTGCTGACTCCGAGAGCTCTTTGATTAAACTTTTGCCACACCTTAAGCAGCCCAGTCTCTTGAGGACCTGCATCCTTGCTGGGCACATTGTGATTCCTGGCCCAAGACCACAATCCTTACCTGAGAGCTTCTTAGAAATGCAAAGCTTCAGGCCTTGCTCCACAGACTGAATCAGAATCTGCAGACAAACAGTTCATGAGGAGAGGGAGCTTCAAGAGCTGCTGATTTATGCTCCCAGTTTGACTGACAAGACTATTGTAGAAGAGAATTTGGAGGATCATCCCAAATGACAGCAACGTGCATCAATTTCAGTGTCTATTTAGCCACTGGCCAGTCTGAGGAGTGTTGCCCATCTTACGAGGCAAATTTTGTAGAAGATATAGATAATAAAATACGGATGGAAACTTCTTTCAATAAAACATTTATTGAGTGCCTGCTAGGGGCTAACTATAAATACATACAGGGCAGTGCCCATCTTCAAATAACTTACAGTCTTGGAGAACAAAATCCATCAAGAGCTCCAACATGTGTTGGACTCTAATAAACAGGTTAAGCAGTGTCACAAGAACCTGCCAGTATTAGCTCCTGAAGAAGCAGTTCTTCTCAGGGAAGGCTCCCAGCAGGACATCACTGACTCACAGGTGGCTGTGGATATGCGGCAAAGTCCTGCTTCCTCCACAGATGCCGGATGTCACTGAGAAACACGTGTAAGAAGACACTATGCTTTCTTCGGTAGTTCTTGCCTCTAACAGTCTTTATGTATTTTGTGCTGATTTTTCACATGGTGAGAGACAGGGCTCAAGTTTAATTATTTGCACGTTGAAATCTAGTTTTTCCAGCACCGTGTGTTAAAGAGGCTGCTGTCCTTCATCCATGATGAAGTAGGAAATCCTGCCCCGTGTCACATCACAGGTGAACCTGGAGGACACTGTGTTATTAATAATAAGACAGAAATGGATAGACAAGGAGAGCTTAATCTTAGTCATATGTGGAATCTAAAATGTTGATCGCACAGAAGTTTAGAGAATCACAGTGACCGTAGGCTGGAGCGAGGAAGGCCGAGGGGTGGGGAAAGCCAGTCAGAGTGTCCAATCTCTAGTTAGTTACGGGGAATCAGCTCTGGCCTTCCACCGCACAGCAGGATAATCAGAGCTGACAATGTATTGTGTGTTTCAGCACAGCCAGAAGAGAGGATGCCAGATCCTCTCAGCACAAAAATGGCATATTCTCTACATGCTGTGCTGACTTGATCATCGTACAATGTGTACACACATCGAAATATAGCATGGCACTCCATAAATATGTACAGTTATTAGGTGTCAGTATAACTTAAAGAAACAAACTAGTACGTGTCCTCCACTGACCAATCCCCACCTAGGTCTCCCAACAGGTAGATTCCCTCTTCTCTCATCGAGCTCTGGTTACAACACAGAATCCCATCTCTTGCTCTCTCTCAAAGATTTCACTCATTACAATCTCTCTCTCTCTCTCTCTCTCTCTCTCTCTCTCTCTCTCTTTCTCTCTCTCTCTCTCTCTCTCTCTCTCTCTCTCTCTCTCTCTCTCTCTCTCCCTCTCAGCTTACAGTAATTTTGTCACCTCTGGCAATCACAATGCCTAGCCACATTTTTTGTTGTCACAACTAGAATTATGTTACTGGTATCTGATGGGACAGAGGTTAAGGATGCTGCTGAATGTCCTATCATGTCCAGGAAAGGCCCCGAAAAGTCGTTCGGTCCCCAATGTCCACAGTGCTGGGTTGCGAAGCTCGGTACTATATCACTGTCATCCAGCACGCAGAGGTGGTGCAGTGTCTGAGGCAGGAATGAATCACATTCCCCAAAAGTCATGTGGACTCTCCATTTGCCAGCGTGCTTGTCCTGAGAGATAAGGCCTTTCAGGGTGTCGTTATGATAGAAAGGAGGGGCCGTGATCCAGGTTGCAATAAGGTCCTTGTATGAAGAAAAGAGACATCAGAGTTTGGGAGAGAAGGCGCAGGGAATCACAGAAGAACCCTGTGAGCAGGTGGTCATCTGAAAGGCAAGTCAAGGGCCATCCCCAGAACCAGGCCATGCTGACACTCCAGTTAGGAAATTCCAGTCTCCAGAACTGTAAGAAAGGAAACAAAATCTACTGTTTAAACCACCCAGTGTGTGATTTTTTTTTCTGCAGCAACTCAAACCAACAGCACAATTCCCATCTTAAGCAATGAATCTTCTACAACCCAAATGCCCATCACCTGGTGGGTGGAGATACAGCCGTCCTCGCAATGGAACTCCGTTCAGGCATGAAGGGAGAGATTCTGACACTCGAGGCCGTGCGCATGAGGACTTGTGCTGCCCGCGGCAGCGGCCAAGCACGTGTGCCGGGTGTTTCGTCGGTGGCGTTCCCACAGAAGTCAGATCTGGAGACAAAAAGGAGACGAGTGTCAGCCTGAGGCTGGAGCGGGACACAAGGATGGCCCTGGGTGACAGAAGTGGTGTGCGGTGATGGTCACACGCAGAGCACACTTGCACGTCGATAGGTTGCACGCTGAGAGCAGTAGGGTTTTTTATCAAGTTTATCTCAAGGTGTTTAAAATAAAGCTATGGAATTAAAAATATGTTTATACACAGATTTTTAAACTCCCTTATCCCTCCTTATCTTTAGCTACCAACCCGTTTCTCTCAGCTTCCCTCTCTGGCAAATCTCTGGATTTTCACTACATGCTTTTCGTTTGGCAGCTGGCTCCCCATCCACTCCAAACAGGCTTTTGCGGGCTAACCTTGGTGTCACCAAGCCACAAAAGCTGAGATGCTGCCAGAGGTGACAGGCAGTTCCCAGGTCCCGTCCTAGGCTCTGCAGATTTCGCACCTCACCTCTGTCTCCTGTCTACACCGTCCTCTGCCCTCACAGCCCCCTCCTCACCCCTGAACTCAAAACAACAAGGAGAGGGAAGCGGGCCCCCGGGGCTCACTCCCTCCCCTGGTTCCGGACCCCTCATTTTGTGTCCCTGTCCTTCTCCCCACTTTGCTGAACTGAGGCTGTGTCTTTGCCTTGGTGTCCCCTCTCCTGCTTGTTCCCTTGAAGCACAGCCATGCTGCTAAGGCATCAGTGGAGCACCCAGCTGTCCCTGTAGGGTCACCAGTCCCTGGGAGGGAGACGGTACCCTCCAGGGGAGCAACAGTGACCCTGTCCTGAAGGGCCAGTCAGCTGCAGGGGACAAGGACAAATGGGTGCGTGATGGTGAGAGGTCACAGAGGGCAGGAAGGGATAAATGTGACCAGGGGAGAGACCCCAAAGAAGAGGGACAGCCTCGGTCTCTCATAACTGGCAGTGGGGTCTGGGATTTGTAGGACCTTCTGAGCGGATCAAGTGCCAGAGGCAGAAAGATAGAGAAGAGAGAGGGAGGGAGGGAGGAAAGAGAGAGGAGGGAAGAAAGGGAGAGGGGTGATAAGAAAAGTGGGCGGATATTATCATATCCCACAGCCCCTGGTGTCCCCAGGTGGCCCGCTCTGCCCTTCCACAGGGACCCACAGAGACAGCTGTGATCTATTTATGCACCACATACAACACAGTCACGTCCTGATGCTTAACCTCACCCAGATCAGCAAAAGAGAAGTGACTAATGTGTGCACTGTGACAGAATGGGGATCATGGGTATCACATGGCCAGCCCATGACTCTGAGGCCACCCACTGGCCCAGCACAGCTGGGAACATGGCCCAGACAGAGGGAGGGGACCCGCCCCTTGAGGCCTGTCAGGATTGCTGTCCAAAGCTTTGAGAAGCAGTGACTATGCAAAAGCTTACCCCTGGCCACAGCTGTGTCCCTTCAGGCACCTAGGCAGTGCTCTTTGCCTGCTGAAAAGACCTGGTCTCTCTTCGGAGCATTCCAGAGATGTAGCGTCCAGAGCCTCCCAGCCAGGACACAGCTGCTGTGGCCAAGGGTAGGAGTACACCAGGGCCACAGAGCTCCAGGGCAAGAGTTGGGTGTGCCCAAGTGTCTAGGGGTGTGGTCTGGATGTCTAGAGGTGTCCCCTGGGTGTCTAGGGACATGTCTTCTGACCCTTGGCAAGGGGAGATTTACAACCCAGTGCCCCCTCACATGCGCTTGGAGAGCTCAGGCAGAAAGCTGCAGGGGCCATGTTTGGGGCCAGTTCCCGGGGAGACAACCCCAGAATCCATGTCCCACAGCCCAGAGGAGGCCACAGGACAGGCCCTGCGAGGGCCCATGCTAAGCCGTAGGAGTCCCCGTCAAGCATCCCCTTCAATCTTCACCTTGCAGAGCAACATGCCCTAGCTTAGGCACCCCAGGAATGAAGGTTAGGAGCCCCTTCTCTTCTCTCTCTGCTCATCTGTGCCCCAAGCCCCTGAGCACAGACAGACAATCAGCCCGCGACATAGACTAAGGAGGACAAGACCCAGGCCTGGGGGGTAGGAAAGGATGGTCCCATTTTGCTGGCATACAGAGTGAGAAAGTCTGTCTGCAGACCTCGTGACTGGGAGTGTGGGGTGCAGAGCCGCGCACACCCACTCCAGCAGATGTGTGGGGTGAAGCGCACAGCAGATGCCCGGGTGGCTGCACACCTGGCTGGAATGGACAGCTGTCCCTGAGCAGGAGAAGGAGCAAAGCGAGGGACATGCACACCAGGGATAGCAGCAGCGCACAGGAGCCGGGTGCCCCTCAGCTGTACTCCAAGAAAGAGCCACGGGCAGGAGAAACATCAGGACACCCGGCAGCGAGGCCAGGGGTCTGTGAGGTCACACACTGGCAGTGAGGGAGAAACGGGGTCCAGGACAGCCGAGGGAGACAGGAGCAGGCGGGTCCAGGTACTGCGGAGCCGTGGACTGCTCTGCTCCTGAGGCAAGATGCTGGCGCACTGGGATTCACTACCTTGTCTTTCCCCAGCTCTTCATGTCTGGGGTCAGGATGCTCCTCACAGCTGCCGAGCAGTAGCTGAGACCGAGCTGCACTGCCTCACAAATACCTCCCAACTTTTTTCCCCTGTGGCTTCCTTTTCCATGAATGCACAAAGCAGAATTGAGAACACAATCTCTTCCTACCCATCTAAAAGATCGTTTTCAGTAAGTATGAAAATGTCTAGCTGACAAGAAAAGCTCGCAAGTTAGATGGCTTCCATGCCCAGAACCTCTGCCTAGTCCCAGCATTCTTAGCCTGGAGGCAAAGTTCTGGCCCAAGTTCTCAAGGCCTTCAGGATCAGCTCCCTCTCACCCCTGCCCCTGTCCTAAGCCAGTGGAGCTTCAGCCACCTTGCTTGTCCCCATTCTGTCCTACCACAGGACTTTTGTACATGCTGTTACCTTGCTGGAATGCCTTCCCTGCGTATCCCATGGCCCACTCCCTTCCTTCCATTTATATGGAACCTCAATGAGTCAATCTCTCGATACTGGTGCCAACTTCCCCAGTGGGGGAAAAGAAAAAGAAAAACTTCAGGAAGGGAAAGCAGATTCCTTTCAATGGGAAAACCTCATACTCTGCTTATCTGGGATCTAACTCATTTTCAAAATTAATTGCTTAATCCAACTCAGCATCACCCAAAAGAAAGATTCAGACCATCACAAGTGTCCTGGTGTGACACAGCCAGATACTGCAGCATTAGCTTGGGGGAATCTTGTCAAAAATATTTTATCTGAGTGTGACCATGAGCAAACCATGAGAAAAACCCAGATTATGGGGCATCTTACAAAAGAGCCGGCCCCAACTCGTCAAAACTATTGTCATGAAGAAAATGAAGAGACACAGTAGCAGCCGCAGTGCATAAGGCTGACGGAAATGGAGACGTTTACAAAGAAGCAGTTAGGAAAATCTGAGTATGAACAGCAAGGCTGAGTGTACTGAATTAGTGAATTTCTCAGTGTGGTAACAGCGCTGTGAGCTCACGGAGGAAGAGCCAGGGGCAGAAGAAGTGTGTGCACAGAGCTGTGGGCATCTAGGACTTTTTGACACTTAAAAAAGTGTGTGTGTGTGTGTGTGTGTGTGTGTGTGTGCAGAGCGCACGGGCAGCATGTTAAGAATTGTTGTTTCTGGGTAAAAAAACTTTTGATGTTCATTGTATTGTTCTATTATACCTATGTTGGATATGTCAAAATTTTTCAAAGTTAAAAATCAGTTTCTTTTATGTTACAACCAAAATGTCACACCTTAAAGTTTATCAAAACGAAAGAATACTCTGGCTTTTCTCAATACTTTAAATAACTAGTACAATTTGAAGAATAACAGCGAAAATACACAACAATTACACAAAAGTTTACCACTGAAATTGACTGAAAAATACAAAGAGGAGTAAATGTACTAGATATGGCACTTTAATATACAGTATCAGAACCACAATCCTGTGGGATAAGTCTTGTTGAAGTGTTGAAAATCATTCCAAGACTCAATTGGGCACATTTATAAAATTTTGTAGCTCAAGGATCTACTTAATTTTGTCATAAATTGCGTGAATATATGAGAACAAACTACTCAACATCAAAAACTTACTTTAAAACTACCCCAGGTCTATGGTATCACAAGAAAGACTGTAAAATTTAGCAACCATATCTACAGAAGGCAAAACATTACAGCAGATAAACACTGAAAATCTCCCTTGGAAAATGTTTTCCCTGATGGTGAGACATGTAACTGTTTCATAACTAAATATTTTACTCAAAAGTTTCTGATTATCATGATTTAAAACTTAAGCTCTCATTTCATGTTCAATAATTTGATTTCTATAATCCATGCAGAATGACTGTGTTCTCTCCAAACACCGCTTGCTGTCTGAAATGATGAATAAGCTAATTACCCGGATTTGATCATTAGACATCGTATACATGGGTAGAAACATCACACTGTAGCCCATAAGTATGTGCAGTTATTATAGGGCAATTTAAAATGAATAAAACAGAAATGTTTACATGGTTTGATTCCATACATCAATTTAGAGGACCAAGCACATTTGATCACATTAGACGTTCAAATGTCCAAATTAAATTTGAAATCAGCTTTTAAGTTTGAAACAAAATTTGTCAAATTCATCAGCCCTTTTTTATTTAATCAGTGTGTAACTAGTGTCTGAATATTTGGATGAAAGTTGATTATTTCAAGGTTGATCAGCTGGACATTAAACAGAGCAGGAACTGTGTGGAGTATCTCTCCATTTGCATAAAAATCCCTGGTAAGTGTCAGAGTCTGCCAAGATCAACCTCATCACATCCAGAAACTCATGCCTGACCAAATATAAAGGCTGTGGTGGTCTAAGAAAGGACTCGGCATGAGAATCCTTTCCAGCAGGGACATTAGTTTGACTATGAACCAGCCGTGGCAGGCAGAGCCCATCTCCTAGAGCATGAACCGAAGATAAACTGAGCCAACCATGCACCGTGTGAAAATAGAAACAGAACAGAGAGATGCTTGTTTGCAAG